TCTTTCTCATTCTTTCTTCTTTCGTTCACGTATCAGAAGTAACTGCGATGGGTGACTCTCGGGGATGAGAATGAGAGAATGAGAAAAAGAGAAAGAGAAAGTGAACATATATATTTTATTCGTGACAATACCTTATTTCTTGTTTTCTTTTTCTTTTTCTTTTCTTTTCTTTTCTTTTTTTTTTTTTTCATTTCATCTCATCTCACTTCCTCTCTTTTTCGTATAACTCTCACGAAATTGAATTTTGCACAACCATGAGAAAGATAGAGAGCAGTAAAAAAAAAAAAAAGAAAGATAGGCAAAAGAGGGTCCAAGGAAAATAGTACAAAGGGTAGTAGTATAACGTGGTGCAAAGTGGTCGAGCGAAATAGAAGATAAGGGCTTGAAAGATATTTTATTATCTTGTTAAGCCGAACGGAATGTATATTAAATAAAGTATGAACATTGTAGGTTTTTTTTTTTTTAGTATGGTTATGGTTCACAAAAGACCATGGTAAGAAAGAAAAGAAAAGAAAAGAAAAGAAATGGATCATATGGGAGATTGAAGAGAAACTATATATATATACGAGTAAATATTAAAATGTGTGCGTGAATCTGTCCGTTTGTCTATTCATGTATGTTTTTAAAATTCATGTGTGTGTTTGTGCGTGTATGTTGTGTATATATGTATGAAGAAGAACCCTGAGAAAGAGGAAATAAGGTTCGGCTGGAAAGAAGGCAGCTGTTGAGGAGGAGGAAAGGAAAAATTTCACCGTAGAATGAAAGTTCTTTGCCAAAAGAAAGACATGAAACGGGACAAAAAAAAAAGAGAAAAAAAAATAAGGAAGACAAGAAGGAAGCCAAAAAGAATGTCTTCTCATCTTTTATTTTTCAGAGACTATACTATTGGTGGTTTCATGCTAAAAGAAGACAGGAAGTAAAGTAAAAGGAAGGAAAGAACAAGTCGAGTCAAAAACTTCTTTCGGAGTTTCTTCAAGAATATCGGTCAGTGCATCGTACACCAAGTCTCGTCTATCAACCCTAGCCCAGCTAGCTCACCTAGCTTTTATCCTACTTTTCGTATTTTCTTCTTTTTTTTTCCTCTCGTCTCTGTTTTTTTTTCTTTTTTTATTTTATTTTTTCAGTCAATCCATCTATCTCTTTCTCCCTCTTTCACACTTTTCATCCAGTTCATCGACGTTGTGTATCATCGCACACGACTTCGTCGTTTAACGAGCACGTTGGTTTTTTTTACTTTTCTTTCCCTCCCCCCTTGGACATCTCGTATTACTTTCACGTGACTTTTATGTAAAAAAAAAAAAATCCCTAAACCTATCTTATATCACGTTCATAGAGTGAAAATTGTATTAAACTCTACGTAATAATTATATTTCGGTTGATGATATTAGCCAAGCATCACGTTTACCATATTATCCTGTTTTATTTTATAGAAAATAATAATAATAATAATAATAATAATAATAATAATAATAATAATAATAATAATAATAATAATAATAACTTGATTGTGAACAATCTTTAACGTGAGTATGAAGGGATCGTGTCGTAAAATTATACGTGTCATTTAACAAGTTTTCTAATTGTATTAAACTCTACGTAATAATTATATTTCGGTTGATGATATTAGCCAAGCATCACGTTTACCATATTATCCTGTTTTATTTTATAGAAAANATCCTGTTTTATTTTATAGAAAATAATAATAATAATAATAATAATAATAATAATAATAATAATAATAATAATAATAATAATAATAATAATAACTTGAATGTGAACAATCTTTAACGTGAGTATGAAGGGATCGTGTCGTAAAATTATACGTGTCATTTAACAAGTTTTCTAATTGAACGAACGATACTTTGGTTTAAAGTATTTTGTTTTTTATTATTTTTTTTTTATTTATTTAAATAAATTGTCAATCCTATTTTCTTTTTAAACTGATCACAAATACAACATGTTCATTTGGAAGAATTTTTTTCCAGTCACTTTGTAGATCCTCATCCATTTATTTTCACCCTGCCAAAAAAAGCAGCCCTTTCGATGGAGGAACTAACTTTGCTAAAGGGTAAAAAACCTCATTCGTTCTACTTATCTTACTTCCGACTATCTCTTTCCTATTTTTTTTTCTCACACATTATCCCTTTCTCTCTCTCTCTCTCTCTCTCTCTGTTGTTCATCCTATCTCAAAAAGGTTCCATTATCTGGAAGCTTTGCGTGATTGGGGTAAGAAGCCCAATCATAATGATGGACTGTCGATGAACGAAATTAGGTGTTTCTTTCCTAACAAAAAAAATATAATTCGATTTAAAACGAATAAGCCGTGTCCCAATTTAAATTGCGAATAAATTCAAAGTCAAATAAAATTGAAAAGAAAAAATGTAAAAAAAAAGAAAAAATGAAAAATAGAAAGGGTGGTGGATTAAAAAGAAGAACGAAGAAATAAGTGTCTCAATTTAAATTTCAAATAAATTGATAGTAAAATAAAAATGAAAAGAAAAAAAATTGTAAAAAATAAAAAAAGCCGTAAATTACGAAGAAAAACAAAGAAACGTGTGTCACCATTTTAAATAGTGAATAAATTGATAGTAAAATAAAATTGTAAAGAAAATATAAAAAAAGGAAAAAAAAATGAGAAATAAAAAAGTATTATAGCTGATTAAAAAGGAAGAACGAAGAAACATTTTCAGTTCTCAGTTTCAAAGAAACTCGTACAATCGAGTTTATCGAATTGGAGGAAGAGGAAAAGGGAGAAGGGCGGCACTTGGTTGGTAACCTGTAATTAATTCGTCGATATTCGCGCTTTACGGTAAATAGCAGCAGGAAATACCTTTGACGGTGCGTGAATGCAAATGACGAATGACGAACACGAAGCTGTATTTAGGTGCAACCGGTTAACGATGATGGATCGATAGATCGATCGATCGATCGATCGTACGGTCATTTTCCTTCGGTTCGAAACAACGATAAGCAACGAGAGAGAAAAAACTCTAATTTTTGCCTCGTGCTTCTATGTTTAACGTGTAAGAAACGAAAGATAAACAGTGTTTAAATAAAAAAAAAATAAAATAAAATAAAAAAGAAAGAAGAAAAAGAAGAAAAAAAAAGGGTCATGAGATATCGCTTTTAGATTTCCTTCCGCTTGATCCCTTCCGCTTGTCGCGTTCCGGTCGAGATAATGGAGTTAAAGGAAAACGGAAACTTTTTGACGCTGAACGTTTATTAAAGGACAACGTTAACTGTTCTCACTCTCACACTTTATCTCTCTCTTTCTTACTCTCTCTTTTTTTCTCTTGCCATATGTTAAAAAACGTTTCCCATAGATGATAATATAAAAAAGAACATGAGGATCGATAAGGTGGCAAGGAACGCATCACACGAGGGATAAAAAACGTTTATATTAACGTCAAGGTTAGACGTGTCTTTACATTCAACGTTGTTGTGCTCGATAATTTTTCGCTTTTAGCTACTTGCTATATAAAAAAAAAAAAAAGGAAAGTAAGAACAGTTAGAAAGAGAGGAAAAAGTTTAGAGAAATAACATATTGCTTTAAATCTTAAAGAAAGAAAAAAAAAGAATATCGAAAGAGGGATAAGATGAGAACTGTGTTCGATTAAAGGTAAATAGAATTAGAAAAGGGTTGGAAAGAATAAAAAAGACAATTCTCATCGATATATATACTTTTAGCACTGTACTTTTAGCATTGTTTGAAGAAGACTGTTACAAGCTAAAGTCGAGTTAGGATATGTGTATATGTATATGTATATGTGTTATTCCTTTTCTCGTGACAAGAAAAGGGGAAAAAAACCTAGTTTCCTAGTCGATTAAATAGGAGAAAGGACGTCGGAGATTCGAACGTTCGATCGGGAAGGTCTACGTTCTTATTATTTATCGACTAAACCCGACGGCATACGAGAATCATGCTCTTGGTTGATGTTGCAAGGACGAGACAATAACAACAAAATAAACACATACTTGCTTTTCTTATCTTTTCTTTTTCTTTTTCTTTTTCTCCATTGGTTTTACCAGAGGAAACAATAAATAAGTAAATAAAAAAGAAAAAGATAAAAAAAAAAAAATAAAGAGTCACTTTATGCATTATAAATGTATGACACGTAACACGTACTACAAGTTAAAATGATCAATTTTCAATCGCATTTTTTATGCAGATAAAAGATCCAAAGGAAAATACGAGCATTCGTCCTGGATTATTTAATTTGTGAATTTTTAATTGCCACTTATACTGCATATCAAAGGAAAATATTTCCATATCTAATTATTACGCGCAATATAGTAGAATAATTGTGATGATATTCGAGATATAAAAATAATCTCGTGACAAAAATTAGCAAACTTTTGATCAAACCAATATTGCATAAAATATACGTACTCTTTTCAATTTTATTATAACTTTAAATAAATAAATAAAAAGAACTTTTATATTATCGAAATATTTCCAATTCCAAATCAATTATATAATATGTTTAACGAAATCTTTATCAAAATAATATTGTATAGAGTATAAGTACTCTTAAATTGTATTATAACTTTAAATAAATAAAAAAAAACTTTTATATTATTCATATATTTCCAATCTTAAATAAATTATACAATATTCTCCCTTTAACTCGTATTTATTTTCTTGCTCATTAACTGACGAACCAAGACAAGCTTTTATGCACGCATGGTGTCGAAAGAATCACACTGAGAAGAAAATAATAAACGAGATAGAGGGTGGGAGAGAGAGTGAAAGACGAAAACGAAGTTGGCCAACGAGAGTACATTAACCCAGGAAAACCAAAGTCTCTTTTCCTATTTTCCTCTCTCTCGCTCTCTCCCGTTCACTCCCTCCCCCTCGTTCTCTTTTCTATTTTTTCGCCCCCCCCCTTCTCCTAGCCCGATCTTCCTTGCTTTTCTCTACCTGCACTTGTCTAGGAAGCACACGCGTTTGCCGCGAAGTCTTCGAGCATGAGCATTGTCGGCGTTCGTTGAACTCTTACCTCAGCGTCCCTCCGTATCGAGACGGCAACGTGCAGCCACTACGACGACAACGACTACTACTACAAAGCTCGTCGTCCATCGGCCAGACTATTTTTCTTCTCAAGCATTCCCTTTTTTTTCTCTTCTTCTTCCTCTTCTTCTTTTTTATCTTCTCCACTTTACTTCTCCTCCAGCTCCACTTTTTCTTCTTTTCTTTGTTGTTTTTCTTTTTGTTTTCTATCACCTTTAACCTTTCTCACAAACCACCAGCACCACCCACGCCAACAACTCCCTCTCGTTTCCCCCTTAACTTCAATTCTCTTCTTCTTAAGATCTTTATCGTCCAACGAAGTTTCCTTCCCTGACCTCCGTTAACATCGGGTCCGTTCAACCTTTCCCCTCTTCCCACGTCTTCCTCCACTACCTCCTCCTCCACTACCAGCAGCACGTCCCACAAGAAACCAATCAACCAAAACCACCCTTCCCCTCTAACCCCCTTTTCCAACCACTTCCTCCTCGTGCACACGATGATAGTACCGCGCGCGTTTACTTCCCCTAGCTTTTAACGGTTTCCAACTACCACCACCACCACCACCACCACCACCAACCACCACCAACACAACCACCTATATTTTTTTATTCTCTCTTTCTCTCTCTCGCTCTCTCTCTCTCTCTTTCTCTTTCTCTTGTATTTCTTCTTTTCAATTATTTTCTGATAATAATAATAACCAACCAACAAAAACAGCAACAACAACAAAACCAATGAAGAAGAAAATGTGGATGACCAATCCGTTGATTGAAGACGAACACGAGGGACAAATTTTGTTCAAATATATGTGTGTGTATATGTATGTAAATATGTAATATATATATACACGAGTAAGTATTATTTACACATATGTATGTATGTGTATAGTTGCGTTGGCGCGCGAACTTTTCCTTTCTTTTGGGGGTTGTGCACGCGCGCGCGTTCGCGCATCTACTACTACCACCCCTATATTACTACAAACTACTACGACTAATTACTACGGACTACACCTAACTACCAAACAGCACACTCTCCACTTCCTCTCCACCCTTCTTCTTTTTCTTCTTTTCTTTATATTTATATGTATATATAAATTAATCCCTCCTCCCTCCTCCTATATAAAGGTGCATATAAATAAATAAATAATATATAATTCACTTTCATTTAAATTTATTTGTATGGAAGAAAAAAAAAACAAGAATTAAGACAAACCGATATCTATACTATACTATAAATATATATTTATATAAATAAATAAATATATACATATATGTATATATATATATATAGCACCTAATAAAAATCCAGTGTTATTTTATATTATGATCGATCGATAAAAAAATTCTCTCGCGTCGCGTGATCCGTGATGAAAAATTATTTTTATTCTTCTCGTTGGTTTGACAACAACAACAACAAAAAACGTTAAATAGAAATGAACAAAAAAAAATGGAATCAAAAAATAAATAAATAAATAAAAAACAAAAACCAAAAAAAAAAATTAATGACAAAAAAGGGTAACAACGAGAGAAAAAGATTGAGTGATTGAGTGAGTGAGTGAGTGAGTGAGTGAGTGAATGAGTGAGTGTGAGAGAGAGAGAGAGTGAGAGAGAGAGCGAGAGAGGGGGAGAGAAAAAGAGAGCGTTCGCGCGTGGTATCGCACGAGCCGGCCGATGAGACACACCACGACAGACTAAAGCTACCGAGGGTAGAAACGTGTTCCATCTCTCTCTCTCTCTCTCTCCTTCTCCCTCTCTTGGTCTCTCTCTCTCTCTCTCTCTTTCTTCCTCTCTCTTTCTCTGTTTCTCCCTCTCTAACGTCTATCTCGTTCTATCGTTTTATCTTCGTTCTCGCTCTTGTTCATTGGTTTACTACGTCGCGACGCCCTCGCGCGGACACGAACCGCGTCGCGACGCTTAAATGCGCCGACGCAGAAGCAGACACCGACGAAGACAACGACCAACTACTATGACTACGACGACCACGACGACGATTACGACGACGATGACGACGCCGTACTATCGTCCGAGCGGGTTAACGTTCGTTCGTTCGGTCGGTTATGCGAACCTTTGCACTACATCGATCGAATAACGGCCCTTTTTTTTCTTTCTTTTCCCTTTTTATCTTTTTTTTATTTTTTTAATTTGTTTTAGTCTGGTTTGGTTTAGTTTGGATTTTTTGTTTGTTTTGCTTTTTCTTCTCGATTCTCGATCTTATTTATCTCTTATTGACTCCCTTTCTTCTTCTTCTTCTTCTTCTTCTTCTTTTTGTTTTCTATTTTTTATTTTTATTTTTTTTTATTTTCATACTATTTTTTATTTTTATTTTATTCTACTGTATATATGTTATTTTCTGTTCGTTTTTTCTCATCCTCTTCTTCTTTTTCTACTTTTTCTATTTGAAGTTGTCTAATTTCACAATAGAAATATTTTTAAACATTTTTAAACATTTTAAAATATATTTTTTTTCATTTTATTCAATCAAAAATCTCGAAAGAACGATCACCAAAGATTCGAACGAAACGATTCGATAAAGCATCGAAAAGATACATTTCTCGAATAATCATAAAATATTTCGTTTACTTTTTCATGTTTCTCAAACTCACTTTTCTCTTGGTATGTATCTCCTAGCATAGCATAAAATATCAGCATACAATTTTCTTCTATTTGAATCTATGATAGTAGTACGAAACATGATTGCTACGTTTTGTTCGCATAATTTAATTCACTTGACAATAAAAATTTATTCGTTAGTAGAACATAATATAACAAAAATAATATTCTATCTTATTTTTACGTGTACTTTCCTTGAATCACCTTCCCCCAAACAAAAAACTGAAAAAGAAATCGAATAAAAATGTATTAAAATAAAATGAATTTAATGATCAATATCAAGGATCATATTAAATTTATAAATTATACTTCTCATATTCCATAAAATATTCCAGGAAAAGGGAAAAAACCATATAGGCAATAATAAAAAAAAAAAGAAACCCACATGTGAAAATTTGTTCAACGAGTTTTATCGACAGTATCCACTAACCGGAATCCTTCAACGTGTCAAACTCATTGTCAGAAAAAAACTTTTTTTTTCCGAAACACACGTGTAAGTGTATATATATATATACGCAAAAGTTACGTATTGACCTTATTTCCAGAGTTCATGTACGGTGTCCCTTTTCGTGTGATGAGATCGAGGAAGGAACCAACGAAAAAGGGACATTTGTTAGGACCACGAGAAAAAGTTTTTCGTTCAATCTATTTTATTTAGTTCCTCTTAAATATATTCATTCGAAAAAGGAAGAAAAAAAAATTGTGATAGTTGAAGATAATACTAATTCATGATATAATTTTCATCTAACGACCATACTCGTTTTCATTTTTCTTACTTAAAGTTTGTCTATCATGTGAGTGTTACTATTTTTTATTTTTATGTTTGAAATTACATAAAAGTTATTTGAAAAATTAAACGTCGAAAAATACATGCAAAATAGATTTAATTTTTAGGTATCAATAATAACATATTTGTAGTTCAACATATGTTACTAGAAAATAGAATTTTTACGATACAAAAAAAAATAAAATTACTTTGACACAGTAAACCACACTCGCACTATTAAACAATCAACTCAACATTCGATTTAACATAAGTTTCGTAATCTTCGTCAACGTTAATATGTTTTTAAAAATAATTTTGGAATATAAAAAGTTATTTAAAAAAATTAAATCAGTTTATAAATAATATAAAGAATAATAATAGAAAAAATAACAAGAATGTAACTAGTTAAAAACTCTCATTTTACGATCTATTAGAAAATGTGTGTATTTTTACACTTTTATTTATTACACAATAGCAGTGTACACACACACATACAACACATGCATACACGCGAGATGAGAATATTTAAAAGATGTTAATTTTTAATAATAAATCATAATAATTTAAATAACACACGAAGCCTACAATAATTCCATTGTCACGCGATATTTCGATGTGAAGTTGAAAGGATTTAAATCCTCTCGAAATTTTCTCCAAACTTTTTGGAGCGTTACGATTATTACTGGCAAAGTTCCATGATTTTACGCTATTCTCGCGTGCAATACCAAAATTCTCGAGTTTGTTTTGAAAATTTTCACTGGGAAATATTACGAATATGTATGTGCAAACGACGAAATATTATATTACAAGGATAACTACGAAAGTGTTATGGCAAAAGGATAACAACGTGCCTTACGTGTCGATTAAACGTTGATTAGTCGTAGTTCAAAGTACCAACAAATTCATTTACAGCATTTGATTGTATTTTAAACTACAGGAAATACTTTATGTAAATACATCATTCATATAAACATATGAATATATTATTTAACACAAAATTATTGTTGAACACAAATATATTGTTAATTAGAAATGAACTATCTTATTAATTTGTTTTTAATTAACAATGGAAGATTTTCAATAATTGGAATTAAAAATCGTAACACAATAGTTTCATCGTGTTTTAATCGAATTACAAAAAATAACATAGAACGATACGTGTAAAGTTACAATAGAAATGTTCAAGTGGAACTACTCTATAACAAAGAGGGGTCATACATAAAGCATTTTTCTCGTATCCGTAACGATGGAAAAAGGTTCAAAGTGAAAAATGAAAGACAAAAAAAGAAAGAAGAAAACTATTTCACGATTGATTTGAGAAAAACGAACTAACTAACGTAAATCTTAATTAACCTTAACTGACTTAAAAGATACATCGAAAATATACTTGAAGTTGATAAAATATACTTCAACAATTTGTCAATAACAAAAGTCAAAAAGGTAAGAAAACAAAATGCAATACGAAATGTGACAAGCAATAAATTGGCTGTTATCCAAAAACGAGGTCATTTTACTTCGAAGGTTATACTGAAGCGTTAGAGAAATTAGCAAATCGAAGGTTCCTTTAACGATTCTGTACGAACGGCGTTAAAGTGACAGCTAGATGGTTTGCAATCGTGGTTTGTCATTAAACTATTCCCGACGAAATGTGGTAGCTTCGAAAATCACGTTTCAACCATTACGAACAAAACTATTCAACTATGTGGTGTCCATGTTTTACCGTCGAACGTCAATCGAAATTATTTGCCAAAGGGACATTTTGACTGTTCCAAATGGCACGCATGACTAGTTTACGCCTGTTAAATCGTAGAGAAACAGGGAGAGAGAGAGAGAGAGAGAGAGAGAGAGAGAGAAATGTTCCATATGTATTTTTTTTCTTTTCATTTTTGTTTTTTTTTCTCTCTCTCTCTTTCTCTGTCGTCTGCAAATAGAAAGTGTAACATGGAACGAAACAAAAAGCATTTTCTGGTATACGAGTAAAAAGCTTGTATTTCTAAAGAGTAAAAAGAAAAGTAGTAGAAGGTTAGCTAGCCAACCCTTGCTAGGTGGATGGGCTATTCCGAGTTACCAGGGAGAAAAAGATTTTTCGAAGGGGTGAAAAAGAGAAATAGAAGGGTATGGTAGTTATGGCAGTAATAGTGGTAGTAGTGGTAGTAGTAGTAGTAGCCGTTTGGCAAACAGTGCCCGGTAGATTTGAAATAACGCGAACTTTCAGCATCGGTCCGTGAGAAGATTTATGGAACGTTCTTGAAAAATGTTATCCCGAAGAAAAATGGAAATGTCATGTCTCGTAGCCCACTCACCCTCTTCGTAGCGATCGTTTGTCCCACCGATGATGCTTGATCTCACCATAAAAGCTTATACACCTTTACCCCTCTTAAAAAAAAAAAACAAATGGTAGAAGAGAGGCTTATGCAAATACGAAAACGAGATAATATTTGTAAATTGGACAAATAATGCACGTGCCAATGTGTAAATAATAAGTCATAGTGTTTCCTTATTTTAACACCCCTATAATTTATTATACTTTTTTATAAAGAAAAATATAATAACACGGGATTAAGAAAATCGTGATCTTTTATTTTCTACTTTGAAAAAAAAAAAGAAAAGAAGAAAATTAGACTACTAAGATATCCAAGAAAAAGGAACTTTTATCTCTGCAAAATTTACTAAACAATTAGATCGTTTAAAGATAATTCTATCTTAAAGGAAATAAAAATAAAACAAAAAAAAACCCCATTAGAAAAGAACGAATGGTTTCATTGGACTACTTCGAGAAAGAAATAAAAAAAAAAAAGATACAAGTGTAACTTCATAGAAGACAATTCGATTCTACCAATTTTCTTCGATACTTTAGTGGATGTAGAAACTATTATTGTATTATATCAAACTAACCTTTTTTTCCCTATAGTTTCATACACTCTCTATGGGTCTATCTACTTGTTCACCCATTTCCCACTGTCTCAACACGACACTCGAACCCTTTAACCCTTCATCCACTTCCTCCTTCATCTATTTCCTTCCCTCTTTACCTCTCTTCACATTCAACCCTGTGTGTCGCATTCGCGTTCCACTCTTGTTGGTAGCTTTAACAAAGTCACGCGAGCATGCTGACTGGTAAGCAGTTTGGGAATGTTTCCAACGAATCGTTGTTGGTACGTGAGGTGGTACCAATGCATACACATATATATACACACATACACATACACAAACATGCATGCATGCATGCATACATACATTCATAGATACATTATGTTACACATATATTCACTTTTAGTACATTGCATGTCTTATCTTCACGTGGTATCTACGATCAAGGGCCAATGACCGAACGTTAACTTTGCTGAACGAAAACTTTCTCAAGCTTTTCCTGTCTCTCTTCCTCTCTTTCTCTCTTTCGTTTTCACACCGTTATCCTCTCATTCTCTCTTTCTCTTTCCATTCTATTATATCTCACCATCTCTTTCTTTCTTCAGTTCTATTTCTTTCCCTCATTCGTGATAAGGTAAAACTGCACACCGGGGAAGGTACGGTGACTCGTGATGACTCTTCTAATCAGTCCTTTAAATAAACGAGTACCTAAAAGCGATAAGTATAAGGTAGTATACTAGGGTACTTAGAAAAATATACGATCTTAGAAACGATCATTGTGTTTTTTCTTTCACGTTACGATAAAATTGTGTATTGTGTCTCTTCTTCTTTCTTTGTTCTTTTTTTTTTTGTAATCACAATAGGGTAAGGTCTACATATTCATATAGATATAGATTTCGCTAGGTGATCATCGTATTAATTCTTGGAAATACGGTAGTCGAACCTAACGAAGGCTCGCGATAAAAGCTTTCTCTCAGAGTTATTGATTTCTTAGTTACGTCACGTTTGCCCCTTTTTCCTAGATTGTATAGCACATAACCTGTAAATACCCTGACTCTATCAAACTCGAATATAAGTTTTCAACAGTCACCTATACAAAATTTCGATTATTTTTTATCTCCTATTGGTTTTCTAAAGGAAATAAATCTCGAATGTGTTCTTTTTATTTCTTTTTTTTTTTTTATTTCTTATTTTTGTTTCGTTTGTTTTTTCTTTTCTTTTTTTTCTGTTCGTTCGTTTAAATTCACCGAAACACTTTGTAAAATCGTTTCAAGCACCTAAAAGACGTTTTACCAAATAACCTGGAAAAGCGTAAATTGCACAACAAATTAATAAAACTAATAGAACGCATAATACGCATAACAGGATTCTCCATTTGTAGTAACGGCAAACCACGTGACGACAAGCTCTCCATGGATTGAAAAACCATGAGAATGAAGTGTCCGGTCGACTTGAATTAATAAAAATTTTGTTAATGATAATAATAATTTTTATATTGATTTCTATTCCTATTTATATTTATATTTAATTAGATTCATTAACAAATAATCGAATTTGATTTTATTGAATTTTATTTTTGCTTACTTAGGTGGTGGAAGTTCTTCCGGTGGATCTCTTCCTTTACCTACTGGATGTTCATTAGCTTCAACTCCCCGCAGAGTCGACAGTTCCATTTCTATTTTACCCTGTAATTGTATTTTATTGTTCAATCGATTTCCTTTGTATATATAGTCAAGTTTCTTACTATATTTTTTACTATATATATAGTTATATATAGTAGGTTTAGTTATATATAGCAGTTTTAGTTATA